TTCCAGGTATCTTTTGATCTCTGTTTTGATTTCATCATTGATCCAGGAGTTGTTTAGTATCATGCTGTTTAGTGACCATGTCTTTGTGGGTTTTGAGGGGACTTTGTTGGTGTTAATGTTTATTTTTATTCCACTGTTTTCCGAGAAGGTGCATGGTAGAATTTCAGTCCTTTTAAATTTGCTTATGCTTGATTTATGGCCAATTATGTGGCCGATCTTGGAATACATTCCATGCGGTGATGAGTAGAATGTGTATTCTATGGCTTTGGATGGAGTGTTCTGTAGGTATCAATTAAGTCTATTTGGTCCAGAGTCACATTGAGGTTCTGGATCTCATTGCTGATTTTTTGTCCCAATGATCTGTCGAGGGTTGTGAGTGGGGTATTAAAGTCCCCAGTTATGATGGTGTAAGAGTCAATATCTTTCTTTAGTTTTCCTAGGAGTTGCTTTATAAAAGTTGGTGCACCTATGTTAGGTGCATATATGTTTAGTATACATATTTCTTGTTGATGGAATGAACCTTTTATCATTATGTAGTGGCCCTCTGTATCTTTTTAAATTTTTGATAGCTTAAATGATATTTTATCTGAAATTAGGATCGTGACTCCTCCTTTCTTTTGTGTTCCATTCTCCTGAAAATTTGTTTCCCATCCTCTTACTTTGAGTCTGTGCATGTCCTTTCTAGTGAGATGGGTCTCTTGAAGGCAGTATATTGTTGCCTGATGATATTTTATCCATTTTGCCATCCTATGTCTTTTCAGTGGTGCATTTAGTCCATTCACATTCAGTCTAATTATTGAAATGTGAGAGTTCGTCCCTATCATAGAGTTCTTATAGAGTTGTTCTTCCACTTGGTTTATTGTCTTTCTTTTGTTTTGGGGGTTGGTTCGTGTGTATCTTATTCTTTTCCCTGTACTCTTGTGAAGAACGTTGCTCTTTTTTCCCCCTTTTCTTCTGTGTTTAGTACTTTCTTAAGTGTTTCATGTAGAGGTGGTTTGGTGGCAGCGTAAGTTCTTAGGGATTGGATAGCTGGGAAAGATTTTAATTCTCCCTTGCTGATGAAGCTTAATCTAGCTGGGTAGGTTATTCTTGATTGAAATTGTTTATCTTTTAGGACTTTGAAGATAGGGCTCCAAGGACTCCTAGCCTGCAGGGTTTCTGTAGATAAATCTGCTGCTATTCTAATTGGTTTTCCATGGTAGGTGATCTGGCCTTTTTCTCTTGCTGCCTTTAGGATTTTTTCTTTTATGCCTACTTTGTGTAGGCGAATTATTATGTGTCTAGGAGTTGGTTTTCTCATTTGTTATCTTGCAGGGGTTCTCTGAATCTCTTGTGTTTGCCTAAAATTAATTTTAAGAAGTCTTTTATCCCACAGATAGATGACCTGAGGTCTACAGAGGGTCAAATTCAGCCCAGCCCCATTGCTTTACTGGTCAGGCCAGTGGATATGCTTTAGTCTAGAAAATTTTGAGACCAAACCAAAGAAGTGGTGTGGATTTCCCCTATGGCTTTACTAAAAATAAAAAGTTGACTGGTGAAAATAAAGTGTTGCAAAGAAAGTGGACTGGGGAGTATATATGTGTTTAAAAACATGGCTATCTCATGTTATCTTTCAAAATCTTTAAAGAATATAATATTGATATATGCTCAGATAAACCACATTTACCAACTTAGTAACTTGTAGAAAGTGTCAAGAAAGACTAAATAAACCAGTTTCAGTGCCTCTGTTCAGCAGAGATTAAAATGGAGAAGAAGCTGAAAGACTTTCCTGAGATGGGGAGGAAGTCAGGCTTTTTTTCTCTCCATCAGAAAAAAGAATGGTCAGACGCAGTGGCCCATGCCTGTAATGCCAGTACTTTGGGAGGCCAAGGCAGGAGGATTGCTTGAGCCCAGGAGTTCGAGACCAGCCTAGGCAACATAGCGAGACCTCATCTCTACAAAAAAATTTAAAAATCTTAGCTGAGTGTAGTGGCATGCACCTCTGGTCTCAGCTACTTGGGAGGCTGAGGCAGGACGATAGTCTGAGCTCAGGAGGTTAAGCTTTGGTGAGCCATGATCATGCCACAGCACTCCACCTGGGTGACAGTGTGAGACTCCAACAGGGAGGGAGGGAGGGAGAAAGGGAAAGAAAAAGATAGAAAGAAGGTGCAACCCCCTCAGGTCCACTCCCACTCTGGGAGCTTTTCTGTCCTCTCAATAAATCCTTCTATCTAAAAAAAAAAAAGAAAGAAAGAGAGGCACTGAACCGGGCTCGGTGGCTCAACCTGTAATCCCGTGCCTTGGGAGGCTGAGGTGAGTGGATTGCCTGAGCCCACAGGTTCGAGACCCGCCTGGGCAACTTGGTGAGACCTCATCTCTACAATAAATCAAAAAATTAGCCGGGTGTGGTAGCACGCGCCTGTAGCTCCAGCTACTTGGAAGGCTGAGGCGGAAGGATCGCCAGAGCCCAGCAGATCGAGGTGGTGGTGGCTGGGAGTGGCCACTGCACTCCAGTCTGGGCGACAGAGTGAGACTCCAACTCAAAAAAAAAAAGAAAAAAAGAGAGAGGCAATGATAAACTGTAGGATAAACAAAAATAGAACTAAGTCATGGCCCAGATAAGGAGCAAATTGAAATATAGAGTGATTTTAAGAAACTCATAAAGTATATTCCATGTTCAACATTCCCTTCAATGACACAGAATCCTAGAAAGACAGATACAGGATCCCGGAAAAAAGAAATTGTGGCCCATTGCAGTTAGCACTGTTTCTGTAACCACAAGATCATAAATGCCTTTCTTTGACTTTTCAGCTTCTAAAATCCACTGATAATCAGAATACGGAAATGTAATCAATCCCAACCATGTACAAAGAGGATAGAAGTTGAGTTGGAAGTGGGGAGGGGGAGCCTGGTGGGGGCGCTCGTGCTCTCTCATAGGAGGAAGTCCAGAGGCTGCACGTTGTAGGTGAATGAATGACGTGGGTGAATGAGCTACTCAAATTACAAATTTGGGTAACGAAATAGAAGAATTATATAGCTATCAACACTTATGATAGGACTGCAAAGAGGAGGCAAAGTACTAACAAATAATGACATTTCAGATGAGTGAGTTCCTAGACCTGATAAACGACTTCAGTACAGTTTCAGGATACCAAATCAATATACAAAAATCAGTAGCATTTCTATACATCAATAACGCTCAAGCAGAGAACCAGATCAAGAGTTCAGTCCCATTAAAAAAAAAAATCTGGGAATACATCAACAGTTTAATGTCTTATAAATGATTGCTTTGGTAAAATAAGTGAGAAAAAAACATTGTACTGACCAGCATCAAAATTTGTTCAAAGGATCATCAGGATATTCGGATATTCCAGTGAGCTCTAATTGTTTAGTTTTTGAAATGTTAGGCAAAGAAACACTTCAGTGATGGGAAGACACTAAGTGTAATTGGAGATATTTTATTACCTAAATATTAAACTGTAGCCTGTAACCATTTTAAATCATCCCAAATGTGCCCTTTACTGGGGGAGAGGGGAATCGCTCAACTCTGGTATAAACATTTGAGTGCCATTTTTGTTCGGAGAGATCCTGAATTTTTTTTAAAAAATTTTAGGTTAAAAAATGAAACCAGGCTTGGTGGCTCAAGCCTGTAATCCCAGCACTTTGGGAGGTGGGGACAAAAGGATTGCCTGAGCTCAGGGATTTGAGACCAGCCTGGACAACTTGGTGAGACCTTGTCTCTACGATAAATCAAAAAAATTAGCCAGGTGTGGTTGCATGTGCCTGTATATCCAGCTACTTGGAAGGCTAAGATGGAAGGATTGCCTGAGCCTAGCAGGCCAAGGATGTGGTGGCCATGAGCATACCACTGCCCTCCTGCCTGGGCAACAGAGTGAGGATACTACTCAAAAACAAACAAACAAACAAACAAACAAAAAAACGCCAAGATGTTCTTCTCAAAGATTTAAGATCCCTAAAATAATCTAGAGCTTGCTGTATTTAATAAGCTCTTTCCTTGTGCAACATTTTTACTTTTCTTCCATATTAAAATACCGTTGATTTTTTTATAATGCCAATCATTGAAAAAAATAACATTGTACATTGATGTTGGACGTAGCCATCTCCACAGTCCAAATAGCCAAGCTCCAGGATCTCAGCCAAGATTGTATAGGTGTGGTATCCCCAGCCCCGGAGCAAGATGTGGACACTGGGAAGTGGTGTGCAATGCCACATGTCCACGGTGCCATCCTGTGGTTATGTCACTATAGTAAAGCATGTCTTTGTTTTCTCCTCTCTAGGAAGGCCCTTTTGTCTACTTGTCTTTAGTAGGAAATGTTGCAAATTCTGATGGCTTGATTGCTACTTTGTGTAAGTAATTTGAAACATCTGCCTTTGAAATGTTTGAAGAGACTAATTGCAAGTGTGACTGTCAATTAAACGAATACCTGTATCACATACTGTATGATTCCATTTGTATGAAATACCCAGAAAAGGTGACTCTATAGAGACATAATAGATTAGTGATTGCCTAGAACTGGGGGTGGGGATGTTGGGGGTAAATGAAGAGTGACTACTAATGGGGACGGGTTTCTTTTTGGGGGTCATAGAATATTCTAAAATGATATTATGATGATTCAAATCTGTGAATATCCTAAAACCCATTCTTTAAATAGGTGAGTTGTATGACATGTAAATTACGTCTCAATAAAGCGATGTATTAAACAATTTTTGAGCCTGGGCAATATAGTGAGACCTCTTCACTAAAAAAAACTTTTTTTAGTTAACCAGAGCTGGGCATGATGGTTCATGCCTTTAATCCCAGCAATTTGTGAAGTTGAAGCAGGAGGTTCACTTGAGCCTAGGAGGTCAAGGCTGTAGAGAACTATGATCACACCACTACACTCCAACCTGGTGACAGAGTGAGGTCCTGTCTCTTTAAAAAAAAAAAAAACAGTAAGGACGGGCACAGTATCTTGTACCTGTAATCCTAGCACTTTGGGAGACTGAAACGAGGATCACTTGAAGCCATGAGTTCAAGACTAGCCTGGGCAACATAGCGAGACCTTGTCTCTACAAAAAAAAAAATTTTGAAATTGGCCAGGCATGGTGATATGCCCCTGTAGTTCTAGCTGAGAGAAGTGATCACTTGAGCCCAGGAGTTTGAGGCTGCAGTGAGCTACAATAGCACCACTGCACTCCAGTCTGAGCAACAGAGCAAAACCTCATCTCTCAAAAAAAAAAAAAAAGATTAAACAAAATAAAAAGTGTTTATAGGAGTGCAGATTGAAGAGCTTGTAGCATATGTACTTTTAATATCAACTTTCGCCGGACTTGGTGGCTCAGCCTGTAATCCTGCGCTTTGGGAGGCTGAGGTGAGTGAATTGCCTGAGCCCGCGGGTTCAAGACCTGCCTGGGCAACTTGGCGAGACCTCATCTCTACAATAAATTTTTTAAAATATTAGCCAGGCGTGGTAGCACATGCCTGTAGTTCCAGCTACTTGGAAGGATCGCGGGAGCCTAACAGGTCAAGGCTGCAGTGGCCAGGAGCAGCCACTGCACTCCAGTCTGGGCGACAAAGTGAGACTCCAACTCAAAAAAAAAAATCAACTTTCTTTTTATTGTACACATATGTATCTGTAGTCTTATAGATAATTCCCAAGACTCTTTCTGCTCTGCAGAGATATTAACTAGTTTTCCCTGTCTTCTTCATGCCCACTGTAAATCAATGAATATTCAGTTAATTAGTATGAACTACCTACCAAGTACTTTGTCAATACTGACAAATAAATGAGTCATGAGCTACTTTTATTTATCTTTTGAGTTGGAATCTCACTCTGTTACCCAGGCTGGAGTGCATGGCATGCTCATGGCCACTACAGCCTTGACCTGCTGGGCTCAGGTGATCCTTCTGCCTCAGCTTTCCAAGTAGCTGGAACTACAGGCACCACGCCTGGCTAATTTTTTAATTTATTGTAGAGGCGAAGTCTTGCCGAGTTGCCCAGGCTCATCTTGAACCTCTGGACTCGGCATTCCTCTCACCTCAACCTCCCCAAGTGCTGGGATTACAGGTGTGAGCCACCGCGTCTGGCCTTTACCCCTTTTATAAAACTGTCTTGCTCGGATAACTGCTCTCAGATTTTACTTTGCTTTATTTCATTTCTTTCATGACTCACATCATCTCCTCCAGCTGGGATCGGTTGGAGACAGATCACTGTTTACCTAGTGTGAGGAAAATGTCTAGAGAATGGTGTCAGCTACAGTTAGTGCTTCTCAAAATCAAACGTGGATCATCTTGATGCTCAAGTCCTAGCCAGTGGTCACTCTGGGAGTGAGAGCCCCTGAGGCTGGAGCCAGCTACTTCAGCTTCAGGGGCTCCTGAAGCTCTGCGCCTTTTTTTTTTTTTGAGTTGGAGTCTCACTCGGTCGCCCAGACTGGAGTGCAGTGGCCGCTCCCGGCCAGGAGCAGCCACCGCAGCCTCGACCTGCTGGGCTCCGGCGATCCTTCCGCCTCAGCCTTCCGAGTAGCCGGAATTACAGGCATGCGCTACCACGCCCGGCTGATTTTTTGATTTATCGTAGAGATGAGGTCTCGCTGCCCAGGCGGGTCTGGAACCCGCGGGCTCAGGCGATCCACTCACCTCAGCCTCCCAAAGGCGCCGGATTACGGGCTGAGCCACTGAGCCTGGCTTCTGCGCCTTTTGGATGAGTGTTTCTCTTTTGATGCGTGGCACTTGCTGAGGACTGTTGGTGATGAAGGACCCCAGTCAGTCATCACTCCTTCCTGGTGAGCATTCCTCTCGTCCCCCTTGTCAGAGGCCGCGCCGATGCTTCCCTGCCTGATGGAGCCCGGATTTGACTCAATCCCACGAAATGCGAATGTCTAACATGGTCTTTCTCCATCAATTCCACGTGCACATTATTCACCTTAGAGAAGTGAAAACTAGCCAGGCACAGTGGCACACCTGTAGTCTCAGCCATTAGGAGGCCAAGGCAGGAGGATCCCTTAAGTCCAAGAGTTTGAATTCAGACAGGGCAACATGGTGAGATCCCATCTCTTGAAAAAGAAAAAGGAAGTGTGCCGGGTTCAGTGGCTCAGCCTGTAATCCACGCCTTGGGAGGCTGAGATGAGTGGATTGCCTGAGCCCGCGAGTTTGTGACCCACCTGGGCAACTTGGTGAGACCTCATCTCTACAATAAATCAAAAAATTAGCCAGGCATGGTCGCGCGCACCTGTAATTCCAGTTACTGGGAAGGCTAGGCGGAAGGATCGCCGGAGCCCAGCAGGTCGAGGCTGCGGTGGCCGGGAGCGGCCACTGCACTCCAGTCTGGGCGACAGAGTGAAACTCCAACTCAAAAAAAAAAAAAAAGGAAGTGAAAACTCATTTAATGACGGTATCTTTCTTTTCTTTCTTTTTTCCACTACTCTGGTAGTGGAAACGTACCCGTCTTTAGTTTCCATCTTTTTCCTCTAAACCTCTGTCTAAGCACAAAATAATCAGTCACAAAATAAATGGAAATGACCGCATCATCAAGCTTTTTAATGCCCGTTCGCCCTTTCATTGTTTATATGTTTAATACGCAAAGAGATGGTCCAAGTTTAGCAGTGGAAGAGGAGATGCCAGAGGCTTGGCACACTGGGACTGGTGGACTGCTCACTGTCCATCCCTGCCTTCCTCTCCAGCATTAACTTTGCCTCTTGTCCACCCCCCACCCCACCCCACACACACTGTCTTCAGCATCACTGAAGGATCTATAATTTCAGACATACTATGTTCTCTCAGCCCCATGCTCTTCCCTGAAACACCCCTATCTTTCACCCAGATTAGGTGTCACCTCTTGTGGTGTGAGGCCTGAAATTAAGATTTACTTGAAGCCGAGCTCGGTGGCTCAGCCTGTAATCCTGAGCCTTTGGGAGGCTGAGGTGAGTGGATTGCCTGAGCCCACGGGTTCGAGACCCGCCTGGGCAGCGAGACCTTATCTCTACAATAAATCAAAAAATCAGCCGGGCGTGGTAGCGCATGCCTGTAATTCTGGCTACTCAGAAGGCTGAGGCGGAAGGATCGCCGGAGCCCAGCAGGTCGAGGCTGCGGTGGCCGGGAGCAGCCACTGCACTCCAGTCTGGGCGACAGAGTGAGACTCCAACTCAAAAAAAAGATTTGCTTGACATCTGGTAAAATCCAGAGGACCTCAAATAGCCTAGCTACAAATCCCCCTCCACACTCTGTTTCTGCATATAAGGCTCCCTAACCAAACAGCCTTCCCGATCACGGGGACCAGGCACAGTGCCTGCCAGTCCCTAAGCTGCTGGCTTCAGTTCCTCGTCAGCCCACGGAATTGCTCAAACCAATCACATCCTCTCACAGAAACCAGGGGTCATCCCATCCTTCTGCTACTACACAGCCTGCTTCCATGGCCACTGGTTTTTCACAGTGCAGCCCCCATATGGCCTGCCAGGCACATGCCCTGTCCTGTGAGTGCATGTGATAAGCCTCATCCGTCTCATCTGCCTAGTATCGGGTGTTGTGTGTTTGACCTTCTCCGTCATCCTCAGGTAGGAATCTCTCCCTCACCACAGGGTGAAGAGGAAGTGATCAGAACACCTCTAAGGAATCTTCCTTGATCTCCTTAGCCTGTCTTCAGTGCTACTTCCTCCGTGTTCCCACAGTCTGTAGCCACCACTGACTGCATGGTTCTGACCTCACTAGAATGTGAACCGCTACGGGCAGATTTTGTGTCCAAGCTGCTGCTGCATTCTTGTGGCCTAGCACAGAGCCCCCCATAGCCTCAAAACAGATTTGTTAAATTAAAGAATGAATGAATGATTTTTTTTCAAATATCTGAACCCCATGAATCTTTGTTCCTAAAGCGTTGACATTTTACTTAAGTGATGTTTCCTTAGATCTTGGATGCACTAGCACGTTTTACCTACTTTATGCATATGGAAACTTTTCCTTTCAATGCGATGTTGTTTTCCAGGGAGATCAGTTATCTGAGGGCACAGCCAACAGCAGACGGTCAGCTGAGGACAGGCCGATGGCTCTCCTGGCCTCCCGTTTGCTTTTAGCCTCTCACAGAACCTCCTCTCAGCGTGTGCCTTGTGTGTTATCTCATTAAATAGCTAATCGTCCTTATTGTCCTTTCTCTCAGGACAGCCTTTCATTAGAAACCCTTGTCCCTGGTCCCAAGGGATCCTTTCTCTGGCCATTACCAGACAAGAGCTTTGTGCTGCTCAGACCAGTAGCAGATAACGGTGCTGATTTTTGGCCATTCATACCTTTTCTGAACCATGGAAGAACAGTACAGAAGGGAGAGGCGAGGTGAGGGCTTCCATGTCTTTCACTCTAATCATTTGAGATCTTAGGACCAGCATGTATCACTTTATAAACTTTAAAAGGTAATTAAATAAAGAAGGGAGAAAAATGGTCTCCACAGGGCATGGCCATCAGTCCAGAGCTAAAAGAACTGAGTCGTGGTGCTCTCTAGAAGAAAGCATTCTGATAATGGGTCCGGAATGGTTTCTTAGGGCTCGTCTGCTTCCAGTCAGCACAGCTGAGGCTTTGGGGGCAGGGGTGGGGGCTACTGTCAGTGATTCCTCTGTCCCCAGAGCAAGCTGAGATGCCCATTTCATCCTTTTGGGATTCATCCCATAGTCTAAACTCCGTTGTGCCCCTCCCTCCTTCCCTGAGGTCTCTTCAGCACTCAGTTTCTCTTCACTTAATAAACATGATTTTTGTAAGCATTTTATTTTATTTTAAAAACGTGGGGTACAAGTCAAGATTAGGTAAACAAGTGGACCTCATACAGGTAAAGTTTGGGCCTCCCTTTGCCTGGTTTGAGATCAGATACCCTTATTTATGTCGTGTCCCCACCCCCCTCCACCCCCGCAGTATCCTGCTACTGCAAATCCCCTTTCTTATAGTATTATGGTAAATGTTAACATTTTCTTAAGAACAATTTTCCCACATCCAGATTATACTTGCACACGTTGTCTTGAGGTTTTGAAGTAAGGGATTGTAATGCATTTACTTACCAAGTTCATTATTAAAGATTCTCAGCCAAGCTCAGTGACTCAGCCTGTAATCCCAGCACTTTGGGAGGCTGAGGGGAGTGGATCGTCTGAGCCTGTGGGTTCAAGACCAGCCCGGGCAACTTGGCAAGACCTCATCTCTACAATAAATAAAAAATTAACTGGGCATGGTAGCATGCGCCTGTACTTCTGGCTACTTGGAAGGCTGAGGTGGAAGGATCGCCCGAGCCCAGCAGGTCGACGCTGGGGTGGCCATGGGGTGACCGTCAGTGTGCCACTAAACTTGAGCCTAAGAGACAGAGTGAGACTCCAACTTAAAAAAAAAAAAGAAGATTGTCTTTGCAAACTCTGACTATGTTGAATTAATTTAGAATTCTGCTACTTACATTGAAAAAGATGGGGGGAGGATGCCACATATATGAAAGCATTTGGAAAACCGAATTATGTTACAACTATAACTTGATTTTGGTTTTTGGAGTGGGGTTGTGGTCTAGAGACAGGCTGGAGTACAGTGGCATGATCATAGCTCACTGCAGCCTCAAACTCAGCTCCAGCGATCCTGTGCCTCAGCCTCTCAAGTAGCTGGGATTACAGATGCACCACCATGCCAGGCTAACTTACATTTTTTTTTTTTTTTTTTTTTTTTTTTAGAGATGGGGGTGTTGCTATATTTCTGGATGGTCTCAAACTCCTGGGCTCAAGCGATCCTCCTTCCTCAACCTCCCAAAGGTTTGAGATTGCAGGTGTGAGGCACCGTGCCCATCCTAATACTGTTCTTATTACTTGTGTCAGGCAAATGCCATTTTAGTCTCAGGGCTTTTCCTGCCTTCCACTAAAGAATCAAGGAGGATGTATTCTTTTTATCTCCTCCTTAAAGGCAAAAAGGTAATTTCTGATAACACTATAAAAATGATTGCCATTGGAGTGACAGCATGGATTTTGTCTTTAGGGAAAGAATATGGCAAAGCTGATGCAAGATGGCTTTATTCTGATCCAACCATTGTTTCTTTGGAAATTCTGACTGTCATCCTGGATGGGTCTCTGGCCTTGTTCCTCATTTATGCCATAGTCAAGGAGAAACATTATCGGTGAGTGCCCTTCTTCTGCTGAAAACAGGAGAAACCTTAGCTATGCCAGCACTTAAGTGACATTCAAAGTAGATTGTGACCACATTTACTTGTTAGATAAAAAGTGAGCAGAAATAAAAATTGTTTGATACGAGATAAGGGTCGTGATACCACCAGGACAAATTTTGCTTGTTCAACATCATAAATATGAAAAATATGATTCTAGTAACAACCTAGTCACTGTAGAGGCAAGACGTTATTAACAGTGTTGAAAAATTTGCCACCAGTACTTTGGAGAATAACGCATCTGTACCCTATCCCCCCAATCACTCTAGAAAACTCCTGTCTCACTTAATGCAAAGGAAATTCTGTTACATAATTCTGAGTTAGACTTGCTAGGTAAACAAGAAATCTTTCCAGAAGCAGATTACGGGGAGTATGGGGCAGGCAGAGGGTAGGGAGAAGGAGAAAGATGAAAAATTCTCCATCCTATCAGTCAGACTCAGAAACTATAAACTCTCCTCCCTTGTTCCTTCCCCCCTCCTTTGCTCCTCCCATTTTCTTTTTGCTATCCTGGGATGATTCCTTAAAACAATGCCAAGTAGACACAACTGCATTCAATTTTCCTCTATCTTGTATTGAAGAAGTCTTATTTAAAGCTCCATCATAGAATCTCAGATTTGAGCCTGAGGTGGTAGTGTACACCTGTAGTCCCAACTACTCAGAGGCTGAGGCAGGAGGATTGTTTGAGCCCGAGAGTTTGAGACTGTAGTACACTATGATCATGCCTGTGAATAGCCACTGCATTTCAGCCTGGACAACATAGTAAGACCTTGTTTTGTTTTTTTGTCTGTTTGTTTGTTTTTAAGTCTTACATTTGACAGAGGCCTCAAAAGTCACTTTCCCTACCCAATTTTTCAGGGATAGTTGGCAATAAAAATTAAATTTCTCCTTGGTGCCTTGACATATTTTTTGGCCCCATGACCATGGTTACAGATTTACATGCATCCATGTGTTTATTATTTCCAGAATTTAAAATGTTTGTATTGCTGAGCACTTACTGTGTGCCAGGCACAATCCTTGGCCCTTTAATATCTCATTTAATCTCTGCAGGATTCTTTAGGAAAGGGCCATGATTATCCCCTTAACTAATGACTAATGGCAGGATTCACATTCAGATCTCTCTTTGCTGGTTCACTAATAATCCTAAGAATCGTTCAGGATACCCAATTCTTATTTAACTCTAAGAATAATCTAGAAAGGGCAATGTTGCTTCTCCAAGGAAAGAATGAGTCTGCTAATCAGGTTGACTTGCCCCATCAAAGGATCACTGCCTGACACCTGAGGTCCAATTTCGGAGTGGTTTCCTGTAGCAAAGATGTTGATTCTGGCACTAAAGAAGAGATGTCATGATTCAGGCGGTGCCATGTTGAGCTGGCGGGTCATCCCGGGATGCTTTCTTTCCAACAGGCATTTCCTGCAGATCACCCTGTGCGTGTGCGAATTGTATGGCGACTGGATGACCTTCTTCCCTGAGTGGCTTATTGGAAGCCCCAACCTCAGCACCAACAACTGGCTCTACTGTTGGGTCTATCTGGTATTTTTTAATGGTGTGTGGGTTCTGATCCCGGGACTGTTACTATGGCAGTCGTGGGTAGAACTCAAGAAAATGCATCAGAAAGGAACCAGTTCAGGGAAAAAGTTTCAGTGAATTTTCAAAATCATAAACACTATTTTCTAGCGGGTTTTTTTTTTTTTTTTTTTGAGCGGAGGCCTCACTCTGTCGGCCAGGCTGGAGTGTAGTGGCATGATCACGGCTCATCGCCACCTCAACCTCTTGGGCTCAGGTGATCCTTCTGCCTCAGCCTTCCAAGTAGCTGGGACTACAGATGCATGTCACCATGCCCAGCTGATTTTTTTTTTATTTTTGTATTGACAAGGTCTTGTTATGTCGTCCAGGCTGATCTTGAACTCCTGGGCTCAGGCAGTCCTCCCATCTCAGCCTCCCAAAGTGCTGGGATTACAGGCATGAGCCACCACACCCAGCTAGCATCATGAGTCAGAATATATCAAACCTTTTTGATTGGGCAAGATGTAATACATTCTACTCTGCACTTTCTTTTTATACTATTGTCCCTGAACAACCTGTTTCAAATTGTTTATAAGGTAACAAGTGTTTATTGTTGTTTTTCAATTAAATGGCAATGTATGGAAAAGAGAAAAAATTTCAACTTGTAATAATAACACGTTTAATTATACATTTTTATGGCTGGTGTTAATTGTTCCACATTAGTGAGCCCAATTAGCATAGAATACCATAAAGCGTGTTATATTAATTTTTTCTTCCAAAGGATATGTTCTTGCCTCATCTTTTAATCTTCTCACTAGTCTTTTTTGGTTACTAATGTGAAACCAGAAATGAAATGAATGCTTCTCTTTTATATTTGTACTTTTTCAAATTCGTGACCCCAACCAAAACATGACAGTAGGCACTTGTGAGTGAACTAACTGCTTCCGGGTGAACACTGGAGTCCCACATGGACAGATGGTGAATTTGTAGCTATCCAATTTCGAGGAGGAAGATTTGAGACCTTACATAAACACATAGTACATTATGGTAAGAAAAAATAAATCAGGAATTAGGGACACAGGGAAAATAAGAGTGAGAAATAATAAAAGGAACATAAAGTCACCAGGTAAAACACATGCCCTAATTAATATTCTATGAAATCAAGAGAAAGCAGCACAAATTTGGCACTTACCCTCAGTACCAGGAGAGATACACGACCACATTGTGTTTCAGGAACCATTCCGGGAGATGATTCTAGTAGTTCTATCATGAGTAGGGAGCAGTTACTTGTATTAGCTTGTTCAACATCTGCCTTCTTCACTGGACTCCAAACTCGCACAAGTAATCTCTGCCTAGAAAAGTGCCGGCATGAAGACCAGGCCCTTGGTATGTTCTGATGGGTGTTCAGATAAACTCAGTCTGTGTTCACTGTCCCTCTGTCTTACCCTGCAGAGACTGTAGTCTCTGGTCCCAGATGTCAAACTGGTTTCACTTTTCAGAGGTACTTGAGAGATTTGGAGGGTGAAGATGTAGAGGCCATCTCAACTGTTCCTTTTTCTTTCTTTTTTCTGTTTTGTGCTGGCAATTAAGGTCACGGACCTGTGAGAGTTTTGGCATTAGCATACTGAGTGTTTGACTTCCTGGGTGTTGAGAGGCAGTTGTTGCTGGGACAGCAGGAATAAAATGTCTGTGGGCTACTTAGCTCTAGTGATGGACTCACTGGTCATGCCTCCCTTGGGAGGATTCATCCTGTGGTCATCCGGGAATCATCACCAGACCTTAACTAAGCACCTGTACCCTATAGCCCAGCAATACCCCAAAACCTGGCAATTTGACTCCTAGGTATACACCTACAGAAATGCTTTGTATGTACATCAAAATGGCAGCCCCCCCCTTTTTTTTTTTATAGACAAGATCTCACTCTGTTATTCAGGCTAGAGTACAGTGGTACAAACAGCTGACCGCAGCCTCGAACTCCTGGACTCAGCGATCCTCCCACCTCAGCTTCCTGAGTAGCTGAGATTATAAGCACATATAAGCACATACACCCAGCTAATTTAAAAAAATTATTTTTTATGTAGAGATGGGTCTTACTATGTTGTCCAGCCTAGTCTTGAACTCCTGACCTTAAGCAATCCTCCAGCTGTGTCCTCCCAAAGCACTGGGATTATGACAGCATTATTCACGATAGTCCCACACTAGAAACACATAAATACATTATGGTCTATACATACAATGAACTACTATACAGCAATGAAAACCAACAATCTTCTGCTGTTCACACCATGGATTAATAAAATGGTGACTGAAAGAAGCCAGACCAAAAGAAGACTTGGTCCGTGATTTTATTTATATAAAGCTAAAAAAACGGATGACACGAATCCCTGGTGTTAGAAGTCAGGACAGAGGTTGCCTTTGGGGAAGAAGGTGGGTGTAGTGATGAGAAGTCACGAGGGGACTTCTGAGATGCTGGTGATGTTCCTTTCTTTCCATTTGGGTGGTAGTTACAATTTGTGATAATTCACTGGCCATGCACTTACAAATTATGTACTTTTAAAATATATGTTAGCCGGGCTTGGTGGCTCAGCCTGTAATCCTGCGCCTTTGGGAGGCTGAGGTGAGTGGATTGCCTGAACCCGCGGGTTCAAGACCCGCCTGGGCAACTTGGCGAGACCTCATCTCTACAATAAATCAAAAATCAGCCGGGCATGGTAGTGCGTGCCTGTAATTCTGGCTACTCGGAAGGCTGAGGTGGAAGGATCGCCAGAGCCCAGTGGGTCGAGGCTGCGGTGGCCGGGAGCGGCCACTGCACTCCAGTCTGGGTGACAGAGTGAAACTCCAACTCAAAAAAAAAATATATATATATACATATATATATATATATAAAATACCTCAGTTTTAAATTTTTTATTGATAACATGATTATTTTATTTTGTAATATATTGCCAGAATTGCTGACTTTAATAAGTAGTTATTCCTTCCTTCCCCATGGGCTAAACCCAGACTGATGTATGTGTTTTAACCATAATCAGAAACCACACACAACTTTTCATGGTTATAACAACTGCATTAAGAAAAACATCTTCATATCTTTTTAAATTTGTGCATATTTATGGGGTACATGAGAAAATTTGTTACATGTATATAATGTGTAGTGATCCTATACTTCCATTTAAAAAGTTTATTTTTGGCTGGGTACAGTGGCTCACACTTGTCACCCAGCACTTTGGGAGGCTGAGGCAGGAAGATTGCTTGAGCTCAAGAGTTGGAGACCGGCCTGGCAACATAGCAAGACCCTGTCTCTAGAAAAATAAAGAACTAAAAAAGTTTATTTTTAAAAAAATGTTTGATTTGAAGACCTGAAGACTGTTTACAGTGGTCCCCATGAAGACCCGTGGCTGTGTCCTTGGTGGCAGATTTGAAACAACCCTGGCTGTTTCTGGCAGTGTCCCTGGTGTGGGCTGATAGTGGGGCGCCAGGGGGAGAGTCTGTGCAAGCCTTTCCCTGAGGGATTACCCAGTGCGTTTCCAGCACTTTGCTCTCTGCTGACCTGGCTCAATCCAAGGGTAAACAGAGTAGAGCAAAATGGATGGGCTGTCGATTCTGCAGGCAGGCCTGAAAACATGATTTCTCTCCATTGACTTTTTGCTGAGTATTGGATGGGAGAGAAATGGGGATTATAGACTCTGACAGGAACTTGGAGTACAGATGCACTCCACTGCCAAGCAAGGGCAGATCTAAATGTTTTCACAGTGAAGTGAGTTGGTGTCCCCGTGTGGCAGTCAAGGAGCACAGGTCACTGTGAATAGAATCCTGTCTCCCTGTCAAGGGGAGGTGGAAGCAGCTGATTTAGGGGTTGCCATATTTCATTGATTCTAAGATGGTGTTTCCCCCCCACACATATTTTCACGGTTTAAAAATTAGGATGCATTTTATAGTTGATGTGTTATAATTTAGTTGGCTGTGTTGTGTGTGTGTTTTTTTTCCCTTTCAGACCTGTAGTATGTCTTATGCTTGAATGGCATCTTAGAGTCAATGAAATAAAGCACTACCCTCAATGGTGTTTCCCTCTTCCAGCCTCAATGTCTCCAACTACTTGGGGTGAAGGACAGTTGGAACGTTTTGTTTTGTTTTGTCTTTATTTTTTTATTTTTGAGTCAGCGTTTCATTCTGTTTCCCAGGCTGGAGTGCAGTGGCATGCTCACGGCCACCGCAATCTTGACCTACTGGTTTCAGGCTATCCAAGTAGCTGGAACTACAGGCGCATGGTAATGCTCAGCTTATTTTTCTGACTTATTTTAGAGATGAGGTCTCACCAAGATGTCCAGGATGGTCTCAAACCCCTGAGATCAGGCAATCCTCTCGACTCAGCCTCCCAGAGTGCTGGGATTTCAGGTTTGAGCCACCACCCCTGTCCTTATTTTTATTTATTTTTTAACAGAGACAAGGTCTCACTATGCTGGAGTGGCTGGTCTTGAACTCCTAGGCTCAAGCAGTCCTCCTGCCTTGGCCTCCTAAAGTACTGGGATTACAGGCATGAGCCACCATGCCTGGTTGGAATTTATTTCAAAAGTCTAAATTTTGCTTGGAACCTTAGAGACTAATTACTTCATTATTTTAGATCCCCTCCCCATCATATCTGTTGCCTTCGAGCCAGCCATAGAAGATATGCGTTAATGAATATATAAAATGATTTGCAGTGGGTTGTGAACGGCTTATGCTGTAGGGAGTGCGATTCCAAACAGTCTATTCCTCCTACTATGGTTCGATTATGTCCTCCAAAAAGCAGGTGTTGGAAACTTAATCCCCAATGCAACAGTGTCGAGAGGTGGAACATTTAAGAGGTGATTAGGTCACAAGGGCACAGCCATCATGAATGGATTAATGCATCACTGAGTGGGTTAGTTATCACAGCGGAGAGGGTTCCTGATGAAAGGATGTGTTTGGCTCTCTCTCTCTCTCTTGCTCTCACTGTCACTCTTTTACCCTTCTGCCATGGAATAACACAGCAACAAGGCCCTTGCCAGTTGCAGCCCCTTAATCTTGGACTTAACAGCCTCCAGAACCATGAGCCAAATAAATCTGTTTATTATAAATTACTCAGTCTTGGGTATTATTTTATAACAGCACAGAACAGACTAAGATATTTTGCCATTATTGC